ACACAAAAGATTTATACACATTTAAGTGCTGGACTGCTCTAATGATAGCCACTTGTGGTTTTCCAGCCAAATATAAAGAAATCACACTATCATGCTTGAATTCCATCACGGATAACTTTGTTTTCTGGAAAATTCTCACCAAAATGCTTTTGTACGCTTGTAAACAATATAATGAGTGTCACTAGAATAAATTTAACAGCTGTCGGACGAGTGGCTTAGAAATGACAGCAGTCTGAAGTTGGTTGCAAAATTTGAAGGAAATTTGAGGATATGGATGGATTCGGATGCTTATTTCGCTTTCTTTGAGCGTTTTGTTTTTCGAAATCTTGAACTCTATGTGGGGGAGGTACCAGAAGGAGTGGACCGTTATATCTCATCTTCACTTCAGACCTAGTGTTAGTAGAAATAATGGGATGTGTGAAATATGAAGGGAACCGGATGTTCATTTCGGATTTTATAATCGTTTTGGTTATTCAGAACTTTGACCATTTGTGGGGGATGTACCAAAAGAAATGGTGCGGTCTCCACCATCTTTATAACAGATTTTGTGTTGATGGAAATATTGAGATGTGTAAAGTGTGAATGGAATCGTATGTTAATTTCGCGTTTTATGAGCTTCATGAATATTCAAAATTTTAACCCTTTGTGGGAGAGGTACCAGAAGGAGTGGACGGGTATATTCCATTTTTACACCAGAATTTGGGTTAATACTGTGATGTTTGTAATTTGACTCCTCTGTTATATTTTATAAGAGTTACAATTATTCAAAACTTCGACCCTTTGTGGGGGAGGTACTTGATGGAGTGGACCGATATTGTTCATTTTCGCCCCTGACCTAGCACTGATGCAAATATTAGGATTCGCAAAGTTGGAGGAAAATCGGATTGTCCTTTCTCTTTCTGTGCAGTAAATAATTTTTTTTTGAGAATATTGACATTTTTTGTGGGGGAGGTACAAGAAGGAGTGGACCGATGTATTCCATCTTAACGCCAGACCTTGGTTTAAAAAAAATGTTGGGATGTGTGAGATTTAAAGACAATCGGATTCTTACTTCACATTTTATGAGAGTTGTGGGGGAGGTACTTGTTGGAGTGAACCGATATTGTTCATGTTCGCACCTGACCTAGCACTGGCGCAAATATTAGGATTTGCAAAGTTGGAACGAAATCAGATTATCGTTTCTCTTTCTGTGCAGAAAATATATTTTTTGAAATTTGCGACCTTTTGTGGGGGAGGTACTAGAAGGAGTGGGCCGACATTGCCCATTTCCGAATTCGATCTAAGTTTGACGAAAATATTACGATATACCAAGTTTGGAATAAATTGGTCGTATCAAATGATGTATACCCTCTGTAGTCATATGGCAGAGGGTATAAAAAGTATCCTAACATGCACATTGACATTTATGGAAAGATATTTTAACGACCGTATATCTAAGGAAATACACAACTGTCCAATGGAACGATTTTAAAATTCAAATATGTGACATTTAATTACTCAAAAAAGGGATCCATAATGAAAAAGTCAATCTGAACTGAAGCATATCTAAATTAACAATTTTTTTCTTCTAATGCGGCTCTCCAGTACTAAAATGAAGAGAACTTCATAAGTAAATGTAGTTGAAGAACTCAAAATTTAACTCTAAAATGGGGACTGGAGAATATGTGGCCTGCGATGTGGTTCTATTTTTAATTAAAATTATTTAATTTCATTAATTTTTTATAAACTTCATTTATTTATATAAACTCCCTTTCCAGTGGTTTTAAAATTTCCTTGGCCTGAAGGGTAAAGAAAACTCATTAGTCACTTCAGCCTTAAATACATTTCACTTGAAGCTGGTCCCATTCGCAACTCTTTATATCCTCAATGTAAAGATGTTTTTTTTTTGTAGTTTTTTTTTTTAATATAAAAATCCTTTTGCTGTTTTCGTTTTGAAGAGCATAACATTAAATTGAAAATAATAATTGTTCAACATGCAGAAAAAACGTCTAAGCGTTGTTTGTTGGAAAACATAACCAAAAAGGAAGAGCTTAAGGCTTATTTCTTTTCATCTGAGGTAAACGCAAGGATGAGAACGAACAACATTATCAACTATTATCACATACAATGTTGCTGTTGTTGTTTCCAAATTGATGTAATTTTTTTTTTGCTGTTGTTGAAAACGCTTCACCCGCAGATAATTTGAGGCACACATCACAGAGTAAATTGTGCGCAGAAGCTGGATTTATTTTTTCTTCGTCGTCCACATAAAATACTACATGAGAAACTTATTATGTAGTTGAATAGTAGACGCTTACACGTTAAGTTCATTGTGAGTATTTGTTAAAATGGTTGTTTGAAGAAGAAAAAACAAATATAGGTGAATAAATTTTATTGTGGTTGTGGACAAGAAAAAAAGTGGAAAAATTGATTGGAGAACTAATTTTTAGTTTAGCAGAATGTGCTATTTAAAGACAAACAAGCTTAGAAGAGTTTTAAATTATAACTTTTTGTGCCCAATAATTTGTCTAAACCCTTTCAAATCCAAAAAAGACATTGCATTGAAAAACATTGGGGTTTTATATGCCTAAAAATCATGTCCTTGGTTCGCAGCAAATGTAAATGTTTTGAGAACGCTTTAATCTCCCATACCATTAGTGCTATCGAAAAAAATGAAAAAGTGTACCATGACACAGCTAATGGGCAAAATAGGTGACGCCACTATGCTGTCAATACCAATTAGATTTACAACTTAAAACGGGGACACCAACTGTTTTCGGGGAATGTTAGACAACTGCAATAGCTTCATTAAATCAATGTTTACCGAGTTACTTTTAATATTTCTTGGAATATTGGATTAAATATGACTTGATATAGTAGTTTATTACATGTAAAATGTAAATACGTCAGATTTTAAAAAATCAACTAAATGGTTTATGCATGTTCTTTTCTGCCCATGTATTTTTGTAATACATATCGTATTCGTTGCTGAATAACCATTACATTTAGTCCATCTCCCACCTTAGGGACAAGGACAACCCCCTTCCCCCACTTAATTGATAAAAGTGAGTTCAGATTTGGTTCTAGCTTTGCCATTTTTTTCTTTGAAATCATATAAATAATGGCAAAATAAAAAGCATTGTATTCAGGATTCACGTAGACACAAATGCATTTTGAAAGTATTTCAAGGGGAGCCACCTGACCATAAATACCAAAAAAATTGCGATTAATAATGTACAACATTTATTCCGGAGGAGACCCGGATTCGCAGGACTCCCACCCTGCGTCCATTTCTGATTACAATACCACAAAGACTCTGATAAATCTCTTGCATATTTTTATGTTCCATGCAATTACTTGGTATGACATACTAATTTCTCAATATCTTTCTATATCAGTTTTTATACTCCGAGACAGATGGCTATAGAGAGGGTATACAGGGTGAGATAAATATATGAATAACTGTTTTTCTGGAAAATTCTTACCAAAATGCTTTTGTACGCTTGTAAACAATATAATGAGCTGTCGGCCAAAACGTGGCTCTTCGAAATAACGGTTTTAGATGCTTGGTCTCTTGGGACTAATTCCGTTTCAGGACATGTGGTTGGTGCGCCCGATAACTCTCGAAGGGAGTATCCGATTTGGTCCAAACTTGGTACATCGTAATATTATTGTGAAACTTAAATCAAGTTCGGAGATGGACAACATCGGCCGATTCCTTCCAGTACCTTCCCCAAAAAAAGTCAACATTTTCAAAGAAAATATTTTTACTGCACAGAAAGAGAAAGGATGATTCGATTTTGCTCCAATGTGACAATATCGGTTCACTCCATCCAGTACCTCCCCCACAAAGGGTTAAAATTTGGAATAATTTAACTCTTCTAAAATGTGATGTATGTGTCCGATTGTCTTCAAATTACGAACATCACAATATTTTTATTAACACAAGATCTGATGTGAAAATGTATTAAATCGGTACACTCCTTCTGGTATCTCCCTCACAAAGGGTCAACATTTTGAATATTCATGAATTGCATAAAACTCGAAATTAGCATCCGATTCCATCCAGACTTGGCAAATCTCAATATTTCCATCAGCACAAGATCTGTTATAAAGATGGTGGGGATCCGACCATTCCTTCTGGTACCTCCCCCACAAAGAGTCAAAGTTTTGAATGACAAAAACGATGATAAAATACGAATTAAGCATCCGATCCTCTTCATATTTCACACATCCTACTATTTCTACTAACACAAGATCTGCTGTGATACATCGGTCCACTCCTTCTGGTACCTTCCTCACAAAGGGTAAAAATTTTGAATATCCAGGAAGCTTTCTAAAACGCGAAATTAACATCCGATTCCATTCAGACTTGTTCAAATTTCGAACATTTAAACATTTTTGCTAACACAAGATATGCTGTGAAGATGATATATGCCAACCTTTCTGGCACCTCACCCACAAAGGGTTACAATTTTCAATATTTTTGTCATAACTAAATATTGTTTTTATGATTTCGTAGAAAATTGGATTTACATGTTTCATCTCTTTCAATTTTTGCCCATACGAATATTTTTATCTGTATTAGATGAAGTATGAAAATTGAATGCTTCGGTCCGCTATATCTGTTACCTGAGACATATATCCACTTTTTTCCAAACATTTTCACATATCTCATCTTAAGTACAGAAAGTAGACGGGGGCCATATTTGGACTGGCCCGTTGTAATATTTATATCAGTCTTAGGTCAGATACGAATATGGTTAATATTGGCCAACTGCTTCGGAATCTCCTCCAAAACTCAACAGTATAAATCTGTCGGCAAAACAGACTGATACTATTTTACTTGTTTCTAATACAATTAGCCATCACTTTTGGCTAGTGGGATGATCGAAAGCTTCTTTCCGGAAATTAATATTATTTTTGTATGTCGTACTACAGGATTCTACTAACTTATTTCAAATCCTTTTGATATTTTATATCTTTACCTAAAACATGTTCCCTCTTACCTTTCTTTGCAGATATTTTATTTTAATTTAGTTCTCACATAATCAGACAGAACCCATAAGCTTGCTGAATATACGAGAAAAAAAGAAGAAGCGAAAGAAGAGTCCTAATTGCAACAACGTTGTTAGTGAAGAAGAGGAAGCAGAACACATCATTCCAAAATGGGTTCTCTGTTTCGCAGTGAGGAAATGACGCTTTGTCAGTTATTTCTGCAAAGTGAAGCGGCCTATGCCTGTGTCTCAGAATTGGGTGAATTGGGATTAGTTCAATTTAGAGATGTAAGTTAAGAATACAATCTGTTTTAAATAGTCGAAATTAATACCAATGTTTAAATGTTTAGCTAAATCCTGATGTTAATGCTTTCCAACGTAAATTTGTCAACGAGGTAAGGCGTTGCGATGAAATGGAACGTAAATTGAGATATTTGGAAAAGGAAATTAAAAAGGATGGCATCCCCATGTTAGACACAGGAGAAAGTCCAGAAGCACCCCAGCCCCGAGAAATGATTGATTTGGAGGTAAATTTTTAAATACTTTGTTGTTGAATATCGTAGACATTTTTTTTATTTTGATACTTTAAGGCAACCTTTGAAAAATTGGAAAATGAATTGCGCGAAGTCAATCAAAATGCTGAGGCCTTGAAACGCAATTTCCTGGAGTTGACGGAATTGAAACATATTCTACGTAAAACTCAAGTTTTCTTTGATGAGGTAAGCTGATGTGTCCTTAATATAAAGTATTCTTTAATAAACTTTGTGGTATATAATTCCTGATGAAAGAAATCTGTATGTAAAGCAAAAAAGTGTAAAACAATCTTTTTTGTATATAAACCAAAAAAAAAAAACTAATGAATTGTAATTAACCCTTTGACAACACAACTGAGGGACGACGCACATATTTGTTGTAATAACTTTCTTTATTATTATTATTATTTTTGTATAGTTATGTTGTATGGCTATTGTTGTATTATTTCCTTTCTTATGTGTATATTTAAGTTCTCTTACTTGGTTGTGATTATAATTTTAGTTAATTTTCTTTATTGATTTAACAAACTTATCGAAATAATTTGGTTTGGGTTTGTAAAACAAGAAAAGGGTAAAGGCAGCAATCAGCATGATTATAAATACGAAAAAAAAAAACAAAATGAAAACAGCAATTTACAATTTCAACAAAGAAACCAATTTCCAACTTTTAACTTTTAATGCTTTTTCTAACTTCTTAAACAATTTTTAGTTTGTATTTGTATTATTTTACAAAACAAGAAAAGAAAAACCACCTACCACAGAATTGGGAAAGAGTATCGGCGTATTTGTTTTTGAAAACTGTTGAAAACAAAATTTTTCGAAAATTCAAACACTTGAAATATGTGCATTTTTAATTATTCTTCTAACACAATTTGTAATTTCTCCTATTCATATCCACATACCACAAGACAATGTAAATAGGCTTTTAAAAATTATTATTTTCTTTTTTAAACAATTGATTTTTGCTATCCTTTAACTATACCTTTTGAACATAAACTTCTCTTTCGCCTATACGTATTACACTAACTGTGAAAAATACTACAACCAAAATATATTACATTGTATATTGACTTTCGCTACAATTGTTTTTTGAAAATAGAAATGTATTTAAAACGCTAGTTTTGGGTAGACACAAAAGTGCAATCGAAAAATGTCTAGGCTCGCTACTACATTTTAGCTAATACCTGTATGTATTTGCCAAATTTCATTAACATAGAACCATGGACTAATGAATATATATACAAGAGAATGTTATTTAAAAAAAAAATCGGATTAGCAGATGTCGTCTACATTGTTTCAGGAGTATGAGTAAAAATATTGAAGTCACTCAAATTTAAAATTTGTCAATTGAAAACTGTTATATAGCAAAATGTAGATGTGTATTACTTGATGACATCGGAAAATGCGATATTAATCCTCTGCAATTCTTCTTTTCCAAAATCTACGTTATATCCCAGAAACAATTCCAATTTTAGTTTTTAACTGAAACAAAAGCTCCGAATGCGTATTAAAAATAAAATAGGTTTTCTAAATATTTCACTAAAAAAAAATTATCATTTTTAATATTTTTCCTTATTGTGCTTCCCATATGCTTGAGCTTGGATTCAGTGCACTCCATTAAATTGAAATTAAGTATAATTGTGTTTCATTATACCCTCAGTCGTATGGTTACAGAGGGTATATATCACTTGATATGGCCAAAACGTGCCTCATCGAAATAACGGTTTTAGGCCCTAATTCTCTTTGGACCAAATCCGTTTCAGAATATTTGGAGTCGATCTAGCGATGTCCGTCCGTCCGTCTGGCTGCCCGGGTCGCACGATAACTCTCGAAGGGAGTATCCGATATGATCCAAACTTGGTACGTTGTAATATTATTGTCAAACTTAGATCAAGTTCAGAGATGGGCAATATCGGTCCACTCCTTCTGGTACCTCCCCCACAAAATATCAATATTTTCAAAGAAATTTACTGCACAGAAAAATAACTTTGTACATCCTAATATTTCTATCACTGCTAGGTCAGATGCGAAAATGGTCAATATTGGTCCACTCCATCAAGTACCTCCCCCACAAACGCTGAAAATTTGAAATAATTATATCTCTTATAAAATGTGATGTAAGAGACCGATTGCCTTTGAATTACACACAGCACAATATTTTTATTAATCCAAAGTCTTGTGTGAAGATGGAATATATCGGCCCACTCCTTCTGGTACCTCCCCAACAAAGCGTGAATTTTTTGAATATTCATGATGATGAAAACACGAAATTAAAATCCGATTCCAGTTAGACTTGGCACATCTCAATATTTCCATCAACGCAAGATCTGTTAAAAATATAGTAGATGTCGGACAATTCCTTGTGGTACCTCCCCCACAAAGGGTCTAGGCTTTAAATAACAAAAACGAACATAAAATCCGAAATAATCATCAGGTTCTCTTCAAATTACACACATCTCAATTGTTTTTTATTAATCCTAGGTCTGGTGTGAAAATGGAATATATCGGTCCACTCCTTTCAGTACCTCCCCAACAAAGGGTCACAATTTCCAATACTTATATCTAATATATAAATATTTCTTTCAAGCAGAAACCTGGAATAAAATTGGATATACAATATTTTATCAGTATTAGATGAAGTATACAAATGGAATACTTCGGTCCGCTATATCTGCCAACTCACGCATATTTCCACATTTTCCAAAAATTTGAATATAATTTGAAATTCGAAGAAATTCAAATTGCAATAGCGTAAAAACTACAAAGCTTATTGTCAAATTGTTGTCAAATGTAACCTTCTTTTTCGTATAGGCTTTGGTTCCAACCAATGTGTATTTACAATGTGACACTGTAAGACCAGTTGTTTTCTTCGTTCTGCGGCCAAAATACATTTTTTATTAAAAAATATTTAATAAATATACGTGTACAACTTTAAATTGAAATATTGAAAATTTTCCCCTTGTTTGATGGAATCCACGCAGAAATACTCTTGACAGCAAGAATAGTTTATGGCCTGATTTCGGCTCCTGTGTGACCTTTTTAAAATGGCCTTGGTTCACATAATTGCTGGTCACCTATGCGCATTACAGGTTATCATCTGTTAACTCTATAAAAAAAATTTATACATAAAATGTAATAGAAATTGTGTTATTTCAGTATTCTACTTCCACAAAAGTTTAGTTTGAATCATGACAGAGATGGGACCAGAAAATATCGTAATATATTTATTAAGAAAATTATTTGATTTGTAATCTTTATCATATTCACAATACCCGCACACAAATACATGTGTATGTATTTTGTTTTAAGCTTTCTCCAAAACAAAGCAAAAAAAAAAAAAGAATAATAATATGCTGTACAGTCGTGCTATATATCCTATCTGGTTAATGCAAACAGTTTTTTTTAGTTAATTTTGTTTTATTAATTTTTTTTTCATGCATACTGATTTTCTTTGGTTAAATGTTATGTTTTATTTTTTTTATCATTTTCGGTTTGTAATCGAAAACAAAAAAACAATTCGTTTATTGTTTATAATGAAATTCCAATGAACGCGGTGCAATTTTAAAATTTGCTATTGCCAACTGTAATCCTGCAATTCGATAATCCCGAATGTTTTGACAACCAAAACGTATTGGTTTTGGCCACCAACCCTCCCTCGCTCGCTCCCTCCCTATCCACCCCGCTTCCCATCCCCAATTAAATCCCACTGCATTGCATTCCCAACAACAACAAAAAATCCAAACGGTTGTGTTGCCAGGCGGTCCCGACAATATCATATAATACAACATCCCACTATAAATCACGACGTTACCGACAGATGGCCGACAATCAAAATGAGGATGAACAGGCTCAGTTACTGGGAGAAGATGCCGGCGTACGGGCCAGCCAACCAGGACAAAATTTAAAATTGGGGTAAATATATTAAAAAAAAAAATCAAATCAACAACTTGACAAATTGCATTTCAAAGAAAATCAGAAATGATGGAAACTGAACAAACAAAGAAAATAATTGAAAACATTACTATTTGAAATTGTGTTACCTTTTTTTTCGTTCATTTTGTAAAATGTTAGTCATATGCTTTGCGCTCTCTCCGTTTGTCTCTCTCTCTCATCATACAGTCATCATGCAACAATAATAATTCTAATCGCTCAGTTTGATTATTCTTATTTTTTTTAACATATATAAATGATATATATGAAAAATGCACATATTTATTACGAACGAACAAAGCCCATTAAAGGGTAATCATATTCCAAGGAATCGTGACCAGATGAAGTTGTTGAATTGTGCTTCTTTCCTTAATTCTATGATTACTTTTGTGGCAACGAGTAGTGACATAGAACCAAGGCTAAAGGCAAAATGTTAACTCATGTGATTACGAATTCCAGGATCTGATATACTAAAAATTTTATTAGCCAAAGAAATGAACAGTCTATAGTGCGGATTTGGTACGCAGTGTATTGGCACTTGGCTTTTAATTTTTTTTTAGAAAGGGATATCCTTAATCATTTCCGGGCTCCATTATTATATCCTTACATTCGAATTTTGAATATACTGGTGGTGGGTTGTTTGAAAAATGACCAAGACATGTGGCAAATGTTTACTCTGGTGGTTATGGTTTATATTACCTACATATGTTATGTCCTTAAATGTTTTGTGTGTATTTTAATTTATTTATGTTTTCAAAAAAACAAAAACAAATCACTAATTCCCCTAGATTTAGTACAAGAAACTAGTTCTAGACATAAATAGCTATTGTGTCACATTATTATTTTTTTGTTTACAATTTTATTTAAAACAAAAAATCCCCATTAATTTGGCAGCAAGAAGGTGGTCTCAATACCACAACCGAATCGATGACACGTGCCTTAATAACCGATGAAGTACGCACTGGTCATTCCATGGGTCCTGTACAATTAGGGTATGTATTTTCCGGCTATTTACCGTTTGCTAGTGCTGTGAGCGTTACTAACAATCAAGAAAAAAGTTGAGGTTAATAACCAAATCAATTGGCCAAAAAATAACAAGTCTCTCAAAATTCCGTACCAAAAAAAAAAAAGAAAATATTTTCTGGTTTTATCAAAATTTCTAAATTGTTTATTTATTTATATATTTTTATGTGTAACTGCTTCCATTAGATTTATGGAAAAATCAAACGAGCGTGAAGACTATTATCCATGGTTGGTACCATCAGCGTTACATTGTTGTATCTATTCAAATGAAAAATGTCCATACATACATACATAAGTCATTTGTCCACCTTTTGTTTTTTTTTTTTTTTAATTTCCATTGTTTGCTAGTTGTCGTGTACTACTATTAATTAAAAATGTGTAGAATGCTGGTCATTCCTCGTTTCCATTTTCAATTGTATTCAGTTAAAACAAAAAACAATCATTTCGTATCAGCATCATATTTTAATATTATGTTCAAAATTTGTGCCACACTATCTTTTCAAAGCTAAAGGTTTTTTGTCATCCATTAAAGTGTATTTGAATGTCTGTCAGAAAAAGAAGAACTTGATTTGAAAATGATCTTTATAAACTTATATATGATTTTTATAAAAATCCTAAACAATTTTAAATCACTTCTGTATCAGTTCTCTTAACTTTCTTGTATCTGTAGAATGTATTTTAAAATTCTTTTCTCTATGGAGTATCTCTAGAGGTATTATGAGTTCATCAAAGTAATATCAAATTTTATATGCATTTTAGAAGAAATTTGAAAGAGGAACCCTTAACTATCTATGGAATATTACTTCAAGGGTCTCATACCAAATTTCATCAGATTTTTAAAAGAAATTTAAATTCTCTTAGATTTGATAATAGTAGATCTGTCTGGTTACCCTAAAATTTGTTACATGTGTTAAAAATGTTTCTAGAAGTCGTCTACACAAATATCTGTAAAAGAGAGCGATTCGAGAGAGAAATGTTGACAGTTCTTGTACTGAACAGCCAAAACGTGTCTAATGGAAATAACGGGTTTAGACCATAGGTCTCTTTGGACCAAATCCGTTCAGCACATTTGGATTCAATCAAGCGATGTCCGTCCATCCGCCTAGCTAGCTGGTGCGCTCAATAACTTTCGAAGGGAGTATCCGATTCGATCCAAACTTGGTACATTCTAATATTATTGTCAAACTTAGATCGAGTTCGGAGATGGGCAATATCGGTCCACTCCTTCTGATACCTCCCAACCAAAATGTCAACATTTTTAAAGGAAATTATTTACTGCACAGAAAGAGAAAGGATAGTCTGATTTTGTACCAACTTTGTAAATCCTAATGTTTGCATCAGTGCTAGGTTAGGTGCGAAAATGGACAATATCGGTCCACTCCATCAAGTAACTCCCCCACAAAGGGTCAAAACTTTGAGTAATTATAAGTCTCATAAAATGTGATTTAAGTGTTCGGTTGTCTTCAAAATACTCGCATCACAATATTTTTATAAACCCAAGGTCTGGTGTGAAGATGGTAGACTCCTTCTGGTACCTCCCCCAGAAAAGGACAAAGATTTGAATAACCAAAACGATTATAGAATCCGAAATAAGCATCCAGTTTTCTTCAAATTACACACATCACAATATTTGAATTAAGCCAAGATCTGGTGTAAAATTGGGGTATATCAATGTACTCCTCCACAAGGGGTCAAAATTTTGAATATTCATGAAGCGCATAAAACACGAAATTAGCATCCGATTTCATTCAGACTTGGCACATTTAAATACTTCCACAAACACAAGATATGTTTAAAAGATGGTAGAGATCGGACCACTTCTTCAGGTACCTCTCCAACATAGGGTTCAAGATTTTTAAAAAACAAAACGCTCAAAAAAATCGAAATAAGCATTCAACTGTCTTCAAATTTCACACATCCAAATATTTTTGCTAACGCAAGATCAGTTGTGAAGATGATATATATCTGCCATCCCCTTCTGTTACCTCGCCCTTAACCAGAAATCGGATATGAATATGTAATTTATAGAAATTTATGATTTAGCATAAAGTTGTATATGAATGTTCGATTTCCTTCAAATTATGCATGTACCAATATTTTTATCTGTATTAGATGAAGTATGAGAATGGAATACTGCGGTCCGCTATATCTGTTACCTCACGCATATTTCCATATTTTCCAAAAAAAATATTTATAAAGTATAGGAAGTAGTCGATAAAGTCCAAATCTGGCACGTTGTAATATTTTTATCAGTCTTAGGTCAGATACGAATTGTTCAATATTAGCCAACTGCTTCGGAACCTCCCCCATAAAGGGTCAACAGTTTGAATAATCATTACTCAAGGCTGGGGGTATAAATCTCTGTCGGCAAGACCGATTTATGTTATATCACTTGTTTTTTGATACATAAAGCGCCAAATCAGAAATGCTCCGCAACAAGCTCAGAAAGCAAAAAAAAAAAAAAAAAACTTACCAAAATCCCCAGCCCCATGCCTCTTTTTGCAAAAGAGAATACAACTACCTTACTCTCTCAGAAAGTTGTCTCAGGAAAATTCCTACATGAAAGACAGACATAGTACTGTAGATTGCTCCAAAAAAATAGGCGTGAAAACAGTAGAAAATATGACGAACTATTTTTTCAATTTCAGGGAACATCAAATTACTGGGTAATGGGCATATTTATGATCTATGTGACGACTCGAATGAAATTTGTTAAACACTTAATTTTATAAATCTTATGTAATCCGTTTTGTTTTTTTCGAACAACTCGCAGGATATCACGTGGGCCTCATATTTCACACAAACTTCTTTTTCACCTCAAAAGTTTTTTATGTATGTTTGTTTGTAATCCTTTTTAAAGTTCCATTCCAATTTTACATCAATCTACGCAATGAGAATAGTAATGTTTTCATCTACTAATGTTTTTTTTTCTAATATTTATCCACACACATACATATATATGTTGATACATCCTCTCCATATGGCATCAACTAATACGTCTTTTATTTTTTTGGAAACAACAGTTTTGTGGCTGGCGTTATATCACGAGAGAAATTGCCGGCTTTTGAGCGTATGTTATGGCGTGCTTGCCGTGGCAATGTTTTCCTAAGACAGGCCATGATTGAATCTCCCCTGGAGGATCCATCAAATGTAAGGATAATAGAATACACATTTGAATCATTATTCTTATTATTTTTTAATAAATTACCCTTTGCTTTGCTTTGCAGGGCGATCAAGTCTACAAGTCGGTGTTCATCATCTTCTTCCAAGGTGATCAATTGAAGACACGTGTCAAGAAGATCTGTGAAGGTTTCCGGGCAACTCTCTATCCCTGTCCCGAGGCACCAGCCGATCGTCGTGAAATGGCAATGGGTGTAATGACACGCATTGAAGATCTTAACACGGTTTTGGGCCAAACTCAAGATCATCGTCACCGTGTTTTGGTGGCAGCTGCTAAAAATTTGAAAAATTGGTTTGTCAAGGTTCGCAAAATCAAGGCCATTTACCATACACTGAACCTCTTCAACTTGGATGTAACACAAAAGTGTTTGATTGCCGAGTGTTGGGTGCCCGTACTGGACATTGAGACCATTCAGCTGGCATTGCGTCGTGGTACCGAGAGATCGGGTTCTTCTGTACCGCCTATTTTGAATCGCATGCAGACATTTGAAAATCCCCCCACCTATAATCGCACCAATAAATTTACCAAAGCTTTTCAGGCTCTAATCGATGCCTATGGTGTGGCCACGTATCGCGAAATGAATCCAGCTCCGTATACCATTATTACGTTCCCGTTTTTGTTTGCCGTGATGTTTGGTGATTTGGGCCATGGTGCCATTATGGCCCTGTTCGGTCTGTGGATGATACGCAAGGAAAAAGGCTTGGCAGCCCAAAAGACGGACAATGAAATTTGGAATATCTTTTTTGGCGGTCGTTACATTATCTTCTTAATGGGTGTATTCTCCATGTATACGGGTCTAATTTACAATGACATCTTTTCGAAATCCCTCAACATATTTGGCTCACATTGGGAGGTGAATTACAACAAGTCGACGGTATTGGAAAATAAATATCTACAATTGAATCCGGAGACAAGCGATTATTTGGGTACACCGTACCCGTTCGGCATGGATCCCATATGGCAGGTGGCCGGAGCCAATAAGATTATATTCCAGAATGCGTACAAAATGAAAATTTCCATTATATTCGGTGTGATCCATATGATCTTTGGTGTCGCCATGTCCTACCACAACCACACCTATTTCAAGAATCGTTTGTCACTGATCTTTGAGTTTATTCCTCAATTGATTTTCTTGTTGTTTTTGTTCTTCTACATGGTTTTGTTGATGTTCATTAAATGGAATCGCTATGCTGCTACCAATAAACGTAAGTTGTGGAGGAATTGTTTTGTGGTTATTTTAATACATGTATTTTTATCTGCAGCACCTTATTCGGCTTCTTGTGCTCCATCGATTTTGATTACATTCATTGACATGGTCTTGTTTAATACTCCGAAACCGGTTCCGGAGGGTTGTGAAGTTTATATGTTTGGCGGCCAGCATTTCTTCCAGGTGGTTTTCGTTCTTGTGGCATTGTCCTGCATTCCTGTTATGCTTTTGGGCAAACCCCTGCAGATAATGAAGCAACGCAAACATGCCAATGTAAGTTCGTGCATATATTTTAAGACATATTTAAGAACTTTCTTCATCACATTTCATGGATCACGCCACTTTTTTTTGTTTTTTAATTCGCACATTCATGTCATTCATTTCTTGAAACAAAAGAGGCAATTTATTAAATCTGCAAAATTTCTTTATCTTTTTTAACATTTCTTAACGTATAACAAATACTTATAGGAAGAGGTTAGTTCTTTGTGGTCCATCACAATATTTTAATAGAATAAATTTTAGAAATCGATCATAAAGTATTTTGTAAAATTGAAAATTTATTTTCTTTATTCTTTAGGTCCAACCTATAACCGGTAGTGATGCCGAAGTTGGCATGTCTAACGGGCAACCAGCTGCCCATGGTGCTGGTGGTCACCACGATGAGGAAGAAATGTCGGAAATATTCATCCATCAAGGAATTCATACCATTGAATATGTCCTCGGCTCAGTCTCACACACTGCATCCTATTTGCGTTTGTGGGCCTTGTCGCTGGCTCATGCCCGTAAGTATTGCACATTTTTCATATTATAACCGTTATTCATCCACACCAGACCTTGGGCCGATAAAAATATTGTGATGTGTGTAATTTGAAGGGAACCCGATGCTTATTTCGGATTTTATGTTCGTTTTTGTTATTAAAAACGTTGATCCTTTGTGGGAGAGGTACCAGGAGGAATGGTCCGATCGCTACCATATTTATAACGGATCTTGTGTTTATGTAAATATTGAGATGCGCCATGTCTGAATGCAATCGGATGTTAATTTGGTGTTTTTAATGAGCTTCATGAGTATTCAAAAATTTTACCCCTTGTGGGGAAGGTATCAGAAAGAGTGGACCGATATATTCCATCTACACACCAGACCTTGGGTTAATGAAAACATTGTGATGTGTGTAATTTGAAGACGATCGGACGCTTACGTCACATTTTATAAGAGTAATAATTATTCAAAATGTTGACCCTTTGTGGGGGAGATACTTGATGGAGTTGACCGATATATTCCATCTTCCCAGCAGACCTTGGGCTTATAAAAATATTGTGAAGTGTGTAATTTAAAGAGAACCGGATGCTTATTTCGGATTTTATGTATGTTTTCCTTATTTAAAACTTTGACCCTTTGTGGGGGAGGTACCAGAAGGAATGGTCCGATCTCTACCATATTTTTAACCGATCTTGCGTTGATGGAAATATTGGGATATACCAAGTCTGAATGGAATCGGATGTTAATTTTATTAACTTGATGATTATTCAACATGTTGACCCTTTGTGGGGGAGGTACTAGAAGGAGTGGACCGGTTTATGGGTTAATAAAAATATTGTGATGTGTGTAACTTGGGTGTTTGGTCTTTTAAATCAGTATTGACTACTAGATCACCGTCCTCTTTAACTGTCTTTTCAATCAGATTTGTTGGGATCAAAGTATAGGTCAGCATATGGAACATTTTACATTGTACACAAATCAAATGGACTCGGATTCAGATATAGATCTTATATAGACATGTGTTGCTTTGGTTACCAAAATGCTTACCAAATTTTTATAATTAAAAGATTTTCATAGCATAAATTATTAGATTTCCTTTTGTGTATGTTTTAGAACTTGCTGAAGTCTTGTGGAACATGGTATTGTCGATTGGCTTGAAACAGGAAGGCTGGTTCGGAGGCATTATGCTGACAATTGTGTTTGCTTTCTGGGCCATTTTGACAGTTGGCATTTTAGTGCTGATGGAAGGTTTATCAGCATTTTTGCATACATTGCGTTTGCATTGGTAAGACAATCTATTGGTGTTTGTATTTATAAAAAATATAAATTAATTTGTTTGTGTCTTTCTAGGGTTGAGTTCCAAAGTAAATTTTACCAAGGAACCGGCTATGCATTCCAACCCTTCTCATTCGATGCCATCATTGAGAATGGCAGTGCTGCCAGTTCAGCAGAAAATGAGTAAATTGAAAAAATTAATAAAAACACCGATAAACAAATAATAATTGAAAGTTAAAACCAATAATTATATTACAACAACTTATACAAGAGCAGTAACTACACACATATATACAACAATATAATATTATTATTAGTATGATATAGCAAACTTTGAGTCTCATATATAATCTTCAAAACAAAAGAAAAACAAATATTCAATGAATTTATTACAAATACATAAAGAAGAATTTATAGTAGCTAAATGAAAACACAAACTCTTTAATGTTAAATGTTTACTTCATAAAATAAAAGATTAAATATCCATCTCTATGGTATCTAGATATATTGTACTCGTAATTATCTTTAACAAAAAAAAAAAAAACAAAAATCACAACAACATCATATATGCATAAAAAATGTCATCCAACAAAATATACATCAGATATTTCCTGTATTGTTTGCAAAATAAATAAATAATAATAATAAACATCATTCTACAACATCCGAACATAAAAAACATAGAAAATTAAACGCATCATACCGCATAGCATGAGATTACTAAGGGTAACTAGTTAAACAATTTACACATACAATATATAATTATAGTCTACTTAAGTGGAACAAGAAAAGTAACGTTTTTCTTCAAAATAGAGAAATTTAATAATAAAAACAAGTTATATAGTTAAAAAGAAATTTCGATATGAAATACAATAACCAAATCAACTACAACTACAACAATCATAATTATTAATTACAATAACAATAACCTTATTAAAATATACCTATTAACAATTCAAATAAAACATTACATTTATTTAATTATCAAACTATACTACTAAATTTATATTAATTATATAATTGTTTCATGACATTGCACGTATGAAATACTTTACCAGTATGTAGTAAATGTTGCTTTCCAAAAAAAAAAAAAAACAAATATTAATATATATATATATGATAAAATGCTTTAATAATATTTAAAATTTAATGAATAACATTGAAATAATTAATAAAATAAAATAAATGCTTGGAATAGTAAATATTCCTTATCAAAGCACAGAAATTGTTGTCGTTTTATTTTTGTAATTTAATTTCAATTAGATGGGATCAGTTGGTATATTTGATGGTCGCTTCAACATCAAAAGAGGACTCAAAGGACGAAATGGTTCCAGACATCAGAGGATACATTATTAAGTATGTTAAGATCTGGCCTCGTATGATTGTTGATCAAGAACTATTTATGTGTCTTATTAGGCAGAAAAATTCTCCCCCATATTTCGGTAATCTATTCAAAATGAGGAGAGAAGAACTAAAACACGAAAATACTTAAAAATTCACTGTTGTCTTAAGGAGACATCTTGAGGGTGAGATGAAAAAACTGCAATTAACTTCAGACTGCTGTAATTTCTAAACCACTCGTGCAACAGCTGTTAAAATTATTCTAGTGACAGCTCATTATTTTGTTTACAAGAAAACAGTTATTCGTGATGGAATTCAAGCGTAATTGGATGATTTCTCTATATTTGGCTAGAAAACCACAAGTGGCTATTGTTAGAGCACTCCAGCATTAAAATGTGAATAAATCTTTTGTGTCTAGTACCATTGTTCGTTACCTTGATACTGGTAGCGTAGCCCGACGTCAAGGAAGTGGACGGAAGAAAACAGCAACATCAGCAGAAATGGTTCGAAAAGTAAAAAAGCGACCTAATCGAGACCCTCGTCGCAGTGGCCGAAAAATGGTTCGTGAGCTGAACATATCGCAATATTCCATTCGGCGAATATTGAAAAATGAGCTCGGAGTAAAGCAATTGAAATTCCAAAAAGTGCAAGAACTTCAACGCAACAGGAAGAAAATAGGCTCAAAAGAGCTAAAGAGTTGCCGAAAGTGGTGAACTGCCGAATTTGGTTTTCTCCGATGAGAAAACATTCGTCGTCCAGTAGTTTGTTAACAAACAAAATGATCGTGTTTACTTGCCAAAGAGGTCAGCTGAAAATGTGCACCTTCGGTTGGCCAACAGGACTCAAGCGACGGCCATGGTGAGGGTGTGGGCCGCCATAACCGCCGATGGTCGCTCTCCGCTCTCGTCGACCATGGCATCCGAATAAATGTCGAATATTCACCCTTATTATGGTTGGCGTTGTCGTAGGCGTTCAAGTGTCGTAGACGTAGTCGTAGGCGTTGTCGTAACTAGAAATTTTTGGTATTATGTACAATTTTCGACTACGTCTTTTTTGTAATAGCAGGGTGCTCTGGAATAATACACATTTTTTGAATTTACGAGCTACCCGGTTAAAAGAAATAAAAGCGTCAGTTGAAATGGTTGAAGTAAAACGATTATTTGTTTAATTAAATATTGAAATATGTTAAGTCCTGGCAATTTTTTTAACTGAGGATAAAGATGAGTATATTCAAAATGATTTAAAATTGAGGCGAAAAATAATGCGGGTTGTTTGTGCTTACAGAGGGAAGCGTACAGACATCCTGGATGACCACATCCTGCTTCTGTTGCGTATTTCGGTGTAGTCTGTTTACCCTTGGAAAAGTCAGTGTGCAGGGATTGTGGTTTTCTTTGTCTTCGCTAATTTCAAACCCTCCAAACAGTTCCTCCTCAGTCTCCAGATCACCAGGTGTTAGACGCTGTTGAATTCCAATTGTTTTTTTCCCTGCATTTACAATTGTCTCTAATTGTAAGAAGCGTGATGCTGCTTCCTCCGTGTCGCTTAAAATGAACTGCTTGAAGGGGCTTCCATCTGTAGCACGACATTCTACCTTGGTATGAACTAGCTTTTTCCTCAATTTGATTTTTTAGTCGGTCCAGACTTTTATCCAGTCCTCGACTGTTCGAACCGGCAGTCCTAGGATATTGAGTTTTGCAATTGGCAAGATCTGGATCATTTCGTCAAATTGTTTCTTTGTTCTGACTATAAATCTAGAAAAAGATGTACATACAAATATTTTTGTACTGTTGATACATACTTCTTATTAAAATCCATTTTGTATATTATTAATTCTTTTGTAATGTCAATTTGGATAAACTTTTGTGTGGTGTCGGCAACAAAATCTCTAACGACTAATTTTGCAGTGTTTGTCGAATTAGAACGCGTCTTGTGGTACGAAAATTGTAACAGAATTTCATACAGAGTTGTAATTTCTCGCATACGACACACATAATACCAATTAGTCGTTACGACACGTCAAATTGCAATTTTCGATACGACTACGCCAGCCGTAATAAGGGTGATTATCTGGAAAATATTCTGGAGGGTGTAGTAAAACCTTGGGCGCGCAAACATTTTGGCCGCAGGCCTTGGACATTCCAACAGGACTCAGCACCATCGCACTCAGCACGCGCCACCCAAGAATGGTTACAAAATGAGGTTCCTTGCTTCATTTCCAGCGCACAATGGCCACCAAAATCTCCGGATATCAATTCGTTGGACTATTGTGTCTGGAGTATTTTAGAAAGCAAGATTGGCACTAAAAAATACTAAAGTGTTGATCACCTCAAGCAATCGCTTCGTTAGGAATGGGCCAAAATACCACAGAGCAACATTTGGGCAGCTTGTGACGGTTTCATTGGCCATTTGAAGGCCATAATTCGTGCCAAACGTGACCAATTCGAGCAAATCTAAACTTATTCTAAAATTTGATGCTATTTCAGAGAAAGGATATTCCGATTTTGCTCGAATTTCGCAAACCCAAATATTTGCATCAGTGCTAGGTCTGGTGCGAAAATGGAAAATATCGGTCCACTCTATCATGTACCTCCCCCCCACAAATTGTCAAAATTTTGAATAATTAACACATCACATTTTGAATAATTAACACATCACTCGAATTACACACATCACAATATTTTTATTAATCCGAGGTCTGATGAGAAGATGGAATATATCGGTCCACTCCTTCTGGTACCACCCCACAAAGGGTTAAAATTTTTTACATCAAGGACATTGGGAGTGAAAGTTTTGTTAGACGAAAAGGGCTTCTTTTCAACTGGATTGGAAATGTATTTTAGGCCTTTCAAATACATCAATTAAGGCGCTACTATTATTATGTGAGATTTGACCAAATCTTCTTTCCTAGTATAATTGATTTATTGAAATAACTTTAAATACAAACATGTTAAAATAATTAAAATTAACTACCTCCCAGGCAATTATATTGCATAGCTTTACATACATATATTTATTTAATTAACTAATAAATTATCCATAAATTCTACAAATTTATCCATATTCTTTCCGGGCTCATAGGTATTCTGTTTGTCCACAAGCACACTTTCCAACGCTGTTTTCAGCTCATTGACAGTACAACACTGCAGATAGCCCTCCTTTTTCATGTGCAGCGCCAATTCCTGTTGATGATTATTCATCAATTGGTCATTGATGACCAAAACGCCCAGTTTGCGGGCAGTTAAAATATCCAAGCAAGTGCCAGCGCCTGCATGTCCCACAACCAAATCTGAATTAATAATGTCCATACGTTTTGGCTCGATTTTAAAATCATACTGTTCCACTTGTATGCCATGTTTTGCTGTTATTGCCGCCTCATCAACTTTGTTACCTTTGCCCACTTGGAGGATCAAATGTTTGCAACCTTTCTTTTTCAGAAACTGCAAAATGTCATCGCTGGTCATTTCCCCGATGAGGGAATCGAACTTTGTGCTGCCCACAGTAACATAGACAGTTGTAATTGGTGGTGTCATTGGGAATGTTTTAATCTTTTCCAAGATTGTCTTGGTCAGTCGTTCTCTGAAATGCGTCGGTTGTTCAGGAGTTGATTGTCGTTGAAAACAAAAATAAAAAACGTCCCAACGAAACGAATATGAAGGCCACAAACGAATACCCGATAAAAAATAAACAGAAAGCAAAGACTCCGGGTACTCTGTTGTTTACGAATGAGACATGAGAAAATTGAACATCTTCACTAAAGAGCGCGGAACTAGTTGCAACTCGACTATAGACTTGGGGGAAAACCGAGTACTCGACTATTGATAGTCGATAGTTCATCCTACTTCACTCACTGGTTTTTCAAATTCCTGTTCAAATTTGAATTTTTCTGTAATTTGTCTTGTCAAATATAATGGCAAAGAAAACAGGTTCCCATCTCTGGTTTATGTATGTACTATAGATTTCTCAATAAACATTGACAATAAGATGTTACCAAGCCCATTATACAATAAGGAGGTAGAGCAGCTTCGTTAAAAAATACAGCCCTGATGCTATGTCAGCTCCCTGTCAAATTTGCCTGCAAACAAGTTGTTATGAAGTATCTAATGTTTTTCCTAATTTTTAAAATCAAATAAAATCACAAATATAATCCAAATTGTTCAATTGTTCAATTTATTACTTACTTAAAAAGCAGCTGATTGCCAGAGAGTAAACGATATGGCAACTTTCGTCAAGTTTATCAAATGCTGTTATGTCCGTTATTTTCAATGAATATTTGAAAGGGCTTGTTGAATTTAGGGCCCTTTACTTTATAACAAAGGAAAATGCGAATGAAATTCACCATTTTAAATTGATTTTCAAAACCCGATGTGCCGTACTGAAGCTGATTTCACTTTGTAGTAATACTAGTGTCAAATTCTATATGACACTTTGTGATTTAGTTCCATTTCTTGATATACAATAGGTTTATATTTTTATACCCTCCGTTTAAGGACACTTGGAGTCGATCTAGCGATGTCCGTACGTCCGTCTGTCTGGCTGGCTGGTGCACACGATAATTCTCGAAGGAAGTATCCTGCTTGATCCACTTCTTCTGGTATCTCCCACACAAAATGCCAAAATTTTCAAAGAAAATAATTTATTGCACAGAACGAGAAAGGATAATCCGAATTTGCTCCAACTTTGTGAATACGAATATTTTCATTAGTGCTAGGTCAGGTGCGAAAATGGATAATATCGATCCATTCCAACAGGTACCTCCCCACAAAGGGTCAAAATTTCTTTTAATTTAAATTTAAGTAGTCGATATAGTCCAAATCTGGCACGTTGCAATATTTATATCAGTCTTAGGTCAGATACGAATTGTTCAATATTGGCCAACAGCTTCGGAACTTCCCCCATAACGAGTCAACAGTTTGAATAATCATAACTTAAGCCCGGGGCGGTATCTGTCCGCAAAACCAACTCATGCCAATTTACTTGTTTTTGGCGCATTTTTGTTTTGTATTTGGAATGACCCGCATATTACTCATTCGAGTGTCAGCTATCCTCAAGCTTTTCCCCTTATTTCATGCTTCATTGAACATGTTGTTGTGGGTTTTCATCGAAGCAGCAGCAATTGATGGTCGTAACACATGTTTGATAACACAATATCATCGTTGTTTTATGTTGTGTTATGTTCGTGCATTCCATGTGCAAAAGCTTGTAAAATTAGGGTATTCAATTATAGATAATTTTTTGTTTGTAATTATTTTTCTTAAATGTTTAAAAAAACATATATATTGTTTTATATTTGTACAAATATATTAATAATATTAAAATAGATCAAATTGTCAAATTTTTGTTTGTGACATGTATTCATTTGTCTCGTGCAGTGGCATCCCTACACAACTTGTGTGGTCGATAGTTTTATGTTTCGACACGCAACTAGTTACAGTGGAAGATATTGTACAATAACAACACGCAAGGAAATGTACCGCTTTTGACTTCCAAATATTATATGACTGTAACTGCGGCACGAAAACATCGGTAAAACTGTAATCATCTGGCACTGTTAAAATACTGGGATTTTATGCTGACCAAGTTTATATTGGTTTTTGCTCTATTTCAGAATCTTATAGGTTCTGAAATTAATTTTTCTATTTTTTCGATATCATAAAGAGAAAATCGGTTATCGTAGTAAAAAGTTGTACATTCTTGCAATTCTGGAACAGACACTTTATGGCGAATTTTTTGATTTACGGCAAACGGAATAATAAAATAAATATTTTCTCTACACCATTTGTTGGGGTCGCAGACAACAGATAATCCATTAGTTGCCCTGCACAGGTTCTTATTAGTGGACTGTTTCAGAACTGCAAGAATGTAAAATTTTTAACTACGACATTGGCATTACCTTTGTGATATCGAAAAAAAATGTAGAAATACTAGATTCTTGCAGGTTCTGGAACAGAGCATAGGCGAACACTCTTAGGCGGCAATAAATGTGAATATTCTGGACGCTGACAAATTCGATCAGAACGGAGCTCAAAATTACGATGGAAAACTGTATATAGCCACCACATTTGCACTGATGGTTCAAATATTGAAAAGGGACCAATAACTGGTGGGTTACACCCAAAAGGAAATTCATGACCTATTCCAGAACCTGCAATAATCTACTAGTTTTGTAAATTTTTATACCCTTCACCATACATAGTATGGAGGGTGTATTGAGTTCGTCATTCCATTTGTAACTCATCGAAATAGTAATTTTAGACCGAACAGAGTACAGGGTGAGATAAAAAAACTGCAACCAACTTCAGACTGTTGTCATTTTTAAGCTACTCGTCCGACAGTAGTTCAAATTATTCCAGCGTACAAAAGCAGAATAAGAGTTATTCGCGATGGAATTCAAGCGTGATTGTATGATTTCTTTATATTTGGCTGGAAAACCACAAGTGGCTATCGTTGATCGAAACCCGGGTCGCAGTGGTCGAAAAATGACTCATAAGCTGAACATATCGCAATATTCCATTCGGCAAATATTGAAAAATGAGCTCGAGGTAAAGCTATTGAAATTCCAAAAAGTGCAAGAACTTATACCACAACAGAAATGAAAATAGACTCAAAAAAACTAAGCAGTTGCTTGGTTTTCTCCAATGAGAAAACATTCGTTGTCCAGCAATTTGAAAACAAACAAAATGATCGTGTTTACATGCCAAAGAGGTCACCTGAAAATGTGCACCTTCGGTTGGCCACCAGAACTCAAGCGCCGGCCATGGTGATGGCATCAGAATAAATGCCGAATATTATCGCAAAAGTATTCTGGAGGGTGTATTAAAGCCTTGGGCACGCAAACATTTTGGCGGCAGACCTTGGTCATTTCAACAGGACTCAGCACGCGCCACCCAAGAATGGTTACAAAATGAGGTTTCTCGCGTAATTGCGACCATAATCTCAGGATACCAATCCGTTGGTATATTGTGTCTGGAGTATTTTGGAAAGTAAGGTTAACACTAAAAAAGACATAAGTTTCGATCACCTCAAGCAAGCGCTTCGCCGTTTGAAGGCCATAATTCGTGCCAAAGGATCGAACAAATTCTAAATTATTTTAAAATTTGATGCTATTTCCGACATTTTTTGCTTTCATTCAATAAAATTAAAAAATGTATATATATATATATATATATATATATATATATATATATATATATATATATATATATATATATATATATATATATATTCTAGATCAGCGTAAAATTCTAAGAAGACTTAGTCCAGTACCTACGTCTGTCTGTTGCAATCACGCTAGAGTCAAAACATGATTTTAGCCACATTTCTCAATGAAATTGTCTGAAAATCCACACAAAGAATGCCTTCTGAGTACTTTATCCATGGAAGATAATTATCTACATAGGTCCACGATATCGCTTATCCCCCATATAAGCGTACCTCCCAACATTCGGTATGTTGAAGATTTTAGTCACATTTTTCAATGGAATTGTCTGAAATTTTACACAAGGAGTTTCTTCTGTGTACTTTACCCCCTGGACGAGAATTGTCGATATGGATCCGCGATGTCGTATAGCCTCCATACAACGGTATCCCCCGATATTCAGTATTTTAATGATTTCAGTCGCACTTATCAAAGAAAATGTCTTAAAATCCACACAAGAAGTTCCTTCTGAGTACTTTATCCATAGAAGAAAATTATCTTTATAGGTCCACGATATCGTATATGCCCCATATAACGTTAACCCAGTATTTTGATGATTTCAGGCAAAATTTTCAATGGACTTGTCTTAAAATCAACACAAGGGGTTACTTCTGAGGACTTTACCCCTAGAAGAGAATTTTTTTTTTCCAATTTTTTTCCAATTTCGTATTTGAAGTTCGGAACCGTTACTGCAGCCTATGACAAAAAATACTTATACAGGACCACGCATGGTACAATGAAGATAAGGTAGGCTAACTTTGAAAAAATTGCAAGTATAGAGGTCTACCTGTTTGGCTTGTAATGTCAGAATTACTATCAAAACAATAAAAAAGAAAACAACTTGTTGCATTGATTTTGAATAAATAATTTAAAACCGCGAAAACTGGAAGGGTCAAAATTTCTTTCCAAATCATGTTCTATATATCTCTTATGGTTTATTTCGCGACAAAAACTGTAGATTTTGTCGATGCATACGTTGCAATAAGCATTTTGAAAACACCCGAATTTGAATATTTTCTGAACAATTTTTTTTATTATTCAAAAGAATACACACACATAAACAATTGTAATTGACATATTAAGCCAGAAAAAAATTAAATCATATGGTAGTTCTGCCCTACCTTGAATTCATTGTACCATGGGACCACGTCTTTGTATAGCCCCATATAACGGTTTTTATATGGGCGGAATTTTTTTTTTTGAAAATTTTTAAGTTTCTTCCAAATGGTGTAATGGGTATAATAAGTTCGGCCTGGCCGAAAATAACTGTGTGTTTTTTGTTCATTCTGTCAAAGTCGCCCATTGTGCCGCCATCATCTCTGGAAGAGCTTCATTGATGTGATGGTCTTTGGCAAAAATTTCTGCTATCAGTTGTTTGCCGGCCTTTGAATAAAACAGTTCGTTTCGGAAAAAAAAGGAAACTAAAAATCGTAATAAAAGTGGTTCCCCATCTGTCGATGTTAGTCGTATTGGCGGAATTTTTGTCAAAGTCGTTTTTTGTATTCTTCTTCTAATACTCTCTGCTGCTGTGAAAGTGATAAACGCATCGCATTTTGTGTGGAATCCGAGTGTATGTATGTGTGTGTGTGTTGTTTGTTGTTTCTGTTGTCATGTCTATGAAAGAAGAATTTTGAGTGTTCAAATAATCGTCATCGTCACATATTTCATGGAGGAGATGCGAAACTAAACGGGAAATTATTCGATGTCGCCCGCCGCCTTCATCTCAATCTCATTGAACACCGAAAACATACTCTGGCGTACCGAACACATTATTCTCACGTCCAATAATAATAATAATAAAAACAACAACAAATAAAAACAAAAACAAAAAGAAAAATTAAAACAAAAACCAAAAAATTTAACAACAAACAAAAAAGTAATAAAAAACAAATAATATAGCATTGCTCTGCCTCTGCTTTTTCGGGAGGGCTGCTGCGACGTTGCTCCATTGGCTCTTTTAGTGGTTTGTGAATGATGTCCATTGTATTAGGTGCTGCTGGATGGGTGGATGGTTGCTGTGGCACCCACCGGTAAATGGGTAAATGCCTTGCCGCTCCCACTCTTTTAATCATTTGTTTACATTCTCGGCCAGTGGTTGCTCTGCTGGTGGCGATGGTGATGATGATGATGTTGTTGCTGATGATGATGATAATAATGGTGGTAAAACTGGGGTAGCCGTTGCTGTGGTGGTGATGGAGCGCTTTGATTCAATTACCTTGCGGCCAAACGCAACGGTTGTCAGTAGTCGTGGTCGTTGCTTGGTATTCTTATTTGTACTTGGCGTTAGCGCTTATTCGCTGGAGGCAACCGATGATGATGATGATGGCCATGCTTATGCTGCTACGATTTCACAGGTTTGCTGTTCGCACGTCCGCAGGATCTGTCAGTAATGACATAAATTTAATAAGATTCAATCTGGTGCAAAGTGTTGATGACTTTTTAATTTTCCACTATAAATCGAGTACGCTCGTCCTCCCCACCGCCCGGCTGCTCCATTGCCCAAAGGCAGCATCGGAGAGTCCAATAATAAAAAATGTGCGTATTTTTGAGTTGAATTTCTAAGAAAGAATAAAATCATCGCAAAAAACTGAATCTGAAGGTAAAAAAGAACCATCGACGTAAGCATCTGAAATTGGTATGTTGAAATATTTATTGCTTTTGGCGTTTTCCAAACTTTGTTTTTTTTTTTTCGTTTGCCATGTTAGAAGTTCAAAGACTCGAGTGTTTTGTTTGTTTGTCGATTGCAAATTGTGGTTTTCAGTTTTTTTTTTTTTTTATGAAATTCAAATGTGAAGATTGGCAAATTAGTGAATTTATGTTATATATTGAAAGAAATGTTTTGGTTTTAACTAATTAAATTAACACATTGTTTATGTACACCCTACAGCTCTATGAGGTGTGGCTACTTATTATGAGTTTTTTTGAGGATAATGTTCAATATTTAAATCTGCCTACTTATGTCAACACTTTATAATGCGAAAAAAATGTGTTAAAGGAAAAATAAAACTAAAAAAGTCGACTGGTCTTAACTCCATTATGTAAAAACTGCATTTATGATCAAATCGACTATCCTCGACACTTATTATACTCTCAGCCATATGGCTAGATAGGGTATATATCATTTAATACGGCCAAAAACGTGCCTCATCGAAATAACCTAGACCCTAGGTCTCTTTGGACCAAATCCGTTTCAGGAAATTTGGTGTCGATCTAGCCATGTCCGTCCGTCGGCCTGTCTCTGGTTGGTGCGCACCATAACTCTCGAAAGGAGTATCCGATTTGGTCCAAACTTGGTACATCATAATATTATTGCCAAACTTAGATCGAGTTCGGAGATGGGCAATATCGGTCCACTCTTTTGGTATCTCCCCCACAAAATGTCAACATCTTCAAAGTAAATAATTTACTGCACAGAAAGAGAAAGGATAATCCGATTTTGCTCCAACTTTGTGAATCCGAATATTTTCATTAGTTGTAGGTCAGGTGAAAATGGACAATATCGGTCCACTCCAACAGGTATCTCCCCCACAAATGGTTAACATTTTGAATAATTACAACTCTTATAAAATGTGATGCAAGAGTCCGATTGTCTTCCAATTTCACACATCCAAATAATTTTATTAACCTGGTGTGAAGATGAAATATATTGGTCCACTTCTTCTGGTACCTTTCCCAAAAAAGGTCATTATTTTGAAGCTCATAAAATGCGAAATTAACATCCAATTTCATTCAGACTTACATCATCTATATTTACATCTCAATATTTTTATTAAAACAAGATCTGTTATAGAGATGGTAGAGATCGAACCAATCCTTCGGGTATCTAACCCAAGATATGTTGTGAAGATGATATATATCTGCGAACCCCTTCTGGCACCTCAACCAAAAAAGGTGACAATTTTCAATACTTTTATCTGTCATGACTTGCGAAACAAATCGACGATTTTTTACAACTTGCTATATCTAAATATTTCTCTTAACCAGAAATCTGATATGGATATGTAATTTATCGAAATTTATCATTTCGCATAAAATTGCATATAAATGTTCGATTTTCTTCAAATTTTGCTCTTACACATATTTTTATCTGCATTAGATGAAGTATGAAAGTGGAGCACTTCGGTCTGTCTATCCGTTACCTCGTGCATATTTCCACATTTTCCAAAAAAAATTTACATATCTCATATATTTTAATTTTTTCGATTTTTTTTCCAAAAATACCTATTTTTGCCTTGATTCCGGGAAAATATTTTTCAGACACGGTACCGAACGTCCGGGTTCAGCGCTAGACCCGGATCCACTTACCCGATATGATGAGTATAATTTTTTTGTACACGGATTTTTTATAAAACCCCCAAAAAGTCGAAAATGGGCCCATTATGGGGGTCATCAAAATTGATGCCAAATTATAGGTGACACTCTTACCTATCCAAAATGCTACAATTTATGCTGACATCTTTTTCGAGATAAAAATCTGGGGTCCTGGGTCCGTACCTCAAGAAAACAATTACTTCCCGGCATCAGGGTAAAAATACCTACCACTGGAAAAAAATGAGAAAAAATTGAAGAGTTTTTACTAAACTTAACTCTAGCCCTGATTTGATGTTAAAGTGTGTGTGAGGTACCAGATATAGTCGACCATTTTCATATCTCATCTAATACAGATAAAAATATTGATTGGGCAAAATTACAAGAAAATCGAACATTAATATTCAATTATATGCGAAATCATAAATTCCATAGTCATCTCAGGTTTCTGGTTGAGAGAAATATTTAGATATAGCTGTAGTTGTAAAGAACCGCTGACTTGTTTCGCAAATTATGACAGATAAAATTATTGAAAATTGTGATTCTTTGTGGGTGAGGTACCAGAATGGGTTGGCAGATATCTATCATATTCACAACAGATCTTGTGTTAGCAATAGTGTTTGTATGTGTGAAATTTGAAGAGAGTTGGATCCTTATTTCACTTTCTTTTAGCGTTTTGGTTTTCAAAATCTTGAATCATATGCGGGAGGTACCAGACGGAATTGTCCGATCTCTACCATCTTTATAACAAATCTTGTCTTAATGGAAATATTGAGATGTCCCAAGTCTGAATGAAATCAGATGTTAATTTCACGTTTTATGAGCTTCATGAATATTCAACATTTTGACCCTTTGGGGAGGAGATACCAGAAGGAGTGGGTCGATATATCCCATCTTCACACCAGATCTTGTGTTATTAAAAATATTGAAATGTGTGAAATTTGATGGGGACGGATGCTTGTTTCAGATTTTAAAGATACATAATTATTCAAAAATTTGACCCATTGTGGGGGAGGTACCAGAAGAAGTAGGCCGATTGCTACCGTTCTTACAACAGATCTTGAGTTGATAAAAATAATGAAATGTGCGGAGTTTGAAAGGAATTGTATGCACATTCCGCGTTTTGCGAGCTTCAAGGCTTTTCAAAATCTTGACCCGCTGTGGGGGAGGTATAGAAATAATGGGATGTGTGAAATATAAAGAGAACCGGATGCTTAATTCGGACTTTATAATTTTTTGGCTATTCAAAACGTCGACCCTATGTGGGGGAGGTACCAGAAGGAATGACCTGGTCATTACCATCTATAGAACAAATCTTGTGTTGATAGAAATATTGAGATGTTCCAAGTCGAAATGGAATCGGATGTTAATTTCGCGTCTTATGAGCTTCATGAATATTCAAAATTTTGACCTTTTGTGGAGGAGGTACCAGAGGGAGTGGACTGATATATTCCATTTTCACACCAGACCTTGGTTTAATGAAAATATTGTGATGTGTGTACCTTGAAGACAATCGGAATCTTACATCACATTTTATAAGAGTTATAATTCTTCAAAATTTGTGTGAGGGAGGTACTTGATGGAGTGGACCGATATTGTGCATTTTCGTACCTGACGTAGCACTGATGCAAATATCAGGATTTGCAGAGTTGAAAGAAAATCGGTTATCCCTTTTCTTTCTGTTCAGTAAATTATTTTCTTTGAAAATGTTGACATTTTGTGGGGTAAGTACCAGAAGTAGTGGCACGATGTACCAAGTTTGAATCAAATCGGATACTTGCTTCGAGAGTTATCGTGCGCACCAGCCATACAGGCAGACGGACGGACATCGTTAGATCGACTCCAAATATCCTGAAACGGATTTGGTCCAAAGAGACCTAGGGTCTAGAACCATTATTTCGATGAGGCACCTTTTGGCCGTATATATCATTATACCCCCTCTAGCCATATGGCTGAGGGTATAAAAATTAAGAGATCGAGTTCTTTGAAAAAGTGTTTCAATATTTGATTTAGCAAAGTCTACTTCTATTGTTTTACCATGAGAATCCTTATTTCTTTTTAAATACAACCTTATTCTGATTACTTTCCCTAGATATTAGAACGCATATAAATGCTTATGTTTCTAAATTCTGCAGAACGGATTTTCCCCCACAAAACTCTCCAGCTCGTTTATTCTTATGGTACATTTATTCATAATATGTTCTATTTTTCCAAATTGCATTTGTCGGAAATAATATCCAAAACGGGTTAATTTCATTATTTATTTGCACAATTATTTTTTCGCATATTCCTTAATGGAATATTAGAACAATTATTGTATTTTCATTTTATCTTTTGCAAAATCAAAACAAAAAATGGCGTGCAAAAAAAAAAAAACGCCAATCTGTAAATAAAATGTGTGAGTTTATACGCGACGAAAAATGCAAATCATTTTTTGTTGTTGTTTTGTCAACGATCGCAGACAGTGATCTATTCACCCAATCCGCCAGTCGCAGACGATGGATGAATGGATAAATGGATCAAAACAAACAATGAACAAACATGATGTGGGCAATGATCTCAAGTCAAATTTTATTTACCATATATTTATATTTTGGCCCAGTAACGGGACAATGTAGTGGAAGAAAGAAGAATATTTAAAAAAAATGTACAAAAAATTTAAATGTATTTTGTTGTTTGTATTCTTGTAAGAGCCGACAATTTTATCGAGTTCATCGTTTGCGTCACAATCATGTCCAGTTTATTTTCGAAATTGTATCATTGCCATTTGTAATGTCATTGTCTTGTGAACGAGAGGAAAACAAAAACAAACAAACAAAACAGCATAATGAATGCAAACAAAATTTGAGCGGAATATTTAAATTTGATGATTGTTTACTGTATATTGTGGTATCGATTAATTCGTCTAATCGAAAAACATGAAGGATATTTCTCATGAAGGTTTGTTTACATATTAGATGTGTCTTGTTACTTTGGCTGCAGGCAAAAGTCCAGCAACATCTCTCTGAGAGAGTAAGTTTTATTCTCTTTGGTAAGAAAACTGTTAAAAGTAAACAGACGAAATCCCTGCAAAAACTTGCAAGTTGGTTTGTCAAAATAAATCAATTTGTCAGCCATAAAAAATAGAGCTCGCAAAAATGAACCGAAAATAGAAAAATTAGTCTTGCGATTACCAAAATAAAAATGTTTTAAAGTTACTTGCCCAGGTATAAATCACCAGAAGGAGAAGAAGAAACTTTGCAAGGTATTGCATGAAGAAATTTGTCCAGCAAGAATTTGTAAACTATAAATTCAAGAACTTTCAACATTTCTCTCTCGAGTTGTGACATAACTGACTGATTGAGAATCAACATCCAAAAGAAGTGGCCGAATCTAGAATTTTGGACAGTCTTGGCGGGTAAACGTATGATAAGGCTGGGTTCTTTTAAAATTCGCACTAAAAGGATACCAAAAGTACTAAAATGTACGAAAAAATTAAATACTGTGT